CACCTTGCGGGCAAGCATTCTAAGATCGATCTAATGAGGTCCAACACAAGAACCGGCTGCTTTGAATTATCTGTCCTTTCGTTCGAATCGATCATCATCTCTTTCTTTTTCATCATTACGATGTCTCCATGTTAGGGTTTATTTTGTTCTTCTAGTTTTTATAACTCTAACCTCTAGGTTAAAAACTCTAATTAGCAGCCAAGATCACTCGTTCGTTCGCGATTTTACCGGTTGGACCGAATCAGTTTTAAATCTTTGGTTGGTTTGTTTTTATCTAATAGTAAGAAAAAAACATTATGAGTTCGGTTATTATTGAATTTTTTTATTAAAAAATTCTTTGATCGCGCATGTGCCAAGTTGAACCAAGTTTAGATTATTATTTGTTGTCATCTGAAAATTTCATTAAAATCAATTGGCGTACATAGTCGAATACCGGGTATAATACAAGGGAGAATGTTAAGTAGAATACGAGGTAAAACACAAGGTATACCAATTTGAATCTAACCTAAACCTATCTAACCACCTAAACAGAGCCATACTAAGGATCAACCAATTAATACCCCAAACGAAAAAAACGATAACCAAAGATGACTGATCTAAGAAGAATTGAAAAGTAGACAATGCACAACCTTATTAGTCTTGAAGGCGAGAAAACGGGCCTAATCCCAGTCTATTACTCGTGCCCACTCTTATTTTTATTGAAATAGGGTGAAAGAAACTCGATCAAAACATTTTCAAAGAACTCCGGTTAAGCACTGAGATTCAAACCGGAGATCAATGGCCCAAGGATTGTCTAAAACTCAAATCATAGGTCCCGGGCGAAGCCTCAATCCTAAAGGAACTAGCAATCAAGCAAAAGTGTGGAGGAGACCATAATCGACAAAACAAAAGGAGCAACAAAGCTATCCGACGGGCACCGATAGAGTACCGTTGATACACGAGCCCATGGTTGAGCCCCCAAGCCAGCAAAACCCAGGGAAATCCAAAGCCTTTCCACCAGAGAGATCCGAGAACGGGACTGCAACCCAACCATCATAAAGGCTAGAAAGACACGGCAAACAACCATCACAGCCAACACCATCGAAATTGAAACATGCTCTTCCAGAACAAATCTGACAAGGATACAAAGGAGGAAGATAGTAGAGACGAGGGAGATACTGGTTAAAAAAGTCACAATCTAATGTTACACATATTCGCCGAGGGAAGTTGAAGAAATGACTGTCATAAGATGAAAGTCAACGAGAGAACCCACGAGCAGATCTGAAACGAGCAGATCTGAAACGAGCTGTGACTCCACTCCGTGATCTACAAGTGAGAACTGTGACTTAGGCACACCGTCGACCACTGAAACCGATCCGAGATCCAAGGCCAAATCTCATCATATCCGAGTCTTGAAACCCACCACTTCTAATCGTCAAAAACCTACACGCTTCCACAGCCAAAGAAGACAAGAGATAGAAAACTAAGCATTAAATCGAGGGACGTTACCGGCGCCGACGCTAACTGAGCTGCCACGCGCCGGTCGAAATTTTGACGGCGACTGTGTAAGTTATGTATTGCATTTTTACGCATTATAACCAAT